AAGAAAATTCTGTTTGAAGGCACTAGAGAGCTTCCCAGGCAGCCAGAATTCTAGGAGCCAAGATTCCAGAGAGAAGGGAAACTAGGACCTGAGCAAGGGCTTCCCCCTATGAGGAATGTGCTGAATCATAAATGTCATGGAATAGAGAAGCTGAAAAGCTGAATGAAAACTGGTTGCCAAGAGGTAGGAATCTGAGCAAAGCTTTTGGTGGTCTCAATGGGCTGGGGAAAAAATCTGGAGTTTTGGAAAACCAAAGCAGTCAGAAATTGAGATGCCAAGATCCCAGAAAGAAAGGAAGCTCAGAGAAGTGAATGTTTGTTTGTTTGTTTTTCCTTAAGGTCAAGAGGTAGAGAACTGAGCCCTGGAATCAGCAGTCTCATAGTGACAGGGAGACAAACCTGAGAGTTCAGGGGCCACCATAATGGAGGGGTTGTGTGAAGGAAGCTCAAAGGCCTAGTCCTAGAAGCAAGCAAGAACAGGAAATAAAACAGGCCTCATGCTAAAACCCAGCCTTACTTCAGCTCAATCCCTGCTTATATACAAACTGCCTGCCGGATGTTAAAGAAATATCCTCTATGGAGGAAGATGATATCACAGAGTGCAGTGGTCTTCAAACTTGAACGTGCTTCTGAATCACCTGGAGGGCTTGTTAAAACACAGATTGCTGGGACCTGTCCCAGAGTTTCTGATTCAGCAAGTCTGGGTTAGGACCAAGAATTCTTTTTTTCCCCACTCTTTTTTAAAAAATTGTTTTGTGTTTTTTTTATTTTTTATTTTAGCGAGAAAGGGAGAGAGAGAAACATCGATTTGTTGTTCCACTTATTAATGCATTCACTGGTTGATTCTTATATGTGCCCTGACGGGGGATCAAACCTGCAACCTTGGTGTATTAGTATGATGCTCTAACCAACTGAGCTACCTCGCTAGGGCTAAGAATTCTCACTTTAACAAGTTCCCAGGGGATGTCGATGCCCTGTGTTCAGAGCCACTGATCTAGAAACTTTCCAATTTTTCATACTCAGTAACTAGTATCCACCAAAAAAATTACCAAAAGAATTATCATGCCAGGAGACAGAACCAAGCCAAAAAAGGGAATAGCAGCAGACCCACTGGATATAAAAATACTTGAGTTGTCAGACATGGGCTTTAAAATAGTAAAGATAATGTGTTGAAGAGAAGATGGAGAATTACACTAGAGAATTGGAAGGAATATATGTATAAAAGAACAAAATGGAAACTATAAACTGAAAAATACAATAACTGAACTTAAGAATGCAGATGTTCTAACAGCATATGAACCAGAACGAGTTTAGTTATCTGGAAGATAGATCAGTAAAAGTATCCAGACTAAAGGAGAGAAAAAAAGATGGAAAAAAGATTGAAGGAGAATAAAGGATGGAAAATAAAGAAAAGAGAATAAGAGATACATGGGATATATCAAGAAAGTCTAAGATCTAGGTAACTGGGAGTACCAGAAAGGGAGGAGGGAAATGAAGCAGCAGCAACACTTGAAGACATAATGGCCGAGCTTTCCCAAATAGGTGAAAAACACCAACCCACTCACACAAGAAGTTTTATAAACTTAATTAAGAGAAGTTCAAAGAAAAACGCACCTAGAGCCTCATAGGATTACTGAAAACCAAAGATTAAAAAGAAAACCTCAAAAACAACCACAGAAAAAAATACACATTACTTTCAAATGAATAATATTAAGATGGAGGGGTGACTTCTCAGCAGATATGATGTGTGAGGGACAGACTTTCAGGGACTACAGTTTATGGGATTATAATTAGATATGTTGATGATATTCTAATCTATAGCCCCTAAACAGGACTCAGACCACAACACTATCTTAGTCCTTAATTTCCTGGGGCAAAAGGGATACCAACTGTCTCCCAACAAGGCCCAGATTTCCTCCTCAGCATTCAAATATTTAGGCTACCACCTAACCCAAAGATCTCCCTCTCTCCCTCTAGAACAAAAGGAGACTAAATATTGCAGTTCCCCAGACACCCAGACAAAAAACAAAAACCCCCAAACAATTAAAAACCATGCTTTTCTCCAATGGACTTCCATTCAAATTGACCTCTCCCAACTTCCTTCTTGTGCCCTATAAAATAATGTTCCTCTCCTTTACTTGTGGAACTTGCCTGTGACTTTTGCTATAGCTTGCTTGTCCTAAATTGCAATTCTTTACTGTTTCTGAATAAACCCATTATTTGCTGTTAAAATAACTGACTGTTTTATTTTTAAGGTCGATGTTGTTTGGTGGCCCATACGGGGACCCAGAGAGACTCCTGATGAGCTGATGAGCAGGCAGGTGCAGCGTCCCTGTTCTGAATGGCTGGGGGAAGGGTGCATTGGGGCACCTCTCTGGTGACCATTTTGCAAATAGCCACCCAGAAGTAACATCCTCATACCCTCTGACTCAGAAATCCCACTTTTCAAAATTTCCCCTTAGGGGCCCTGGCAGGGTAGCTCAGTTGGTGACAGCATTCTAATGGATTTTAAGAGAATAATTTCTAAGTACTATTGTTATGTGAGAAAACTATCATACAAAACAAATTGTGTTAAAAACACACACAAATAAAACCATGCAGAAGATATATGCTGAAAGGAGACACAGGGACTAGTCACAGGGATCAGGGTCTGGGCAAGGTGCAGGGGAAAACTTTTGCTTTTCCTTGGTGTCATTTGGAATGTTGTACCTTTTCTCTCGATTTAAAAAAGCCTTTCATAAATATTTCCCATAGTAACTTAAATACTTCTTAAAAGAATGAGTAAAAATTAGTAGGTTATATATATATTTTAAAATGACCCAACAAAAATTCTGTATAACCTCATTAAATCCAGTGGCCCGTGCTGCCTTATCTGAATAACACCTTGACCACTCAAAGTGTCCAATTTGCACCCAAAGCTCCATTCTAGCAAGAAAATTCTCATAGTTCAAAATATACTGTGTCACATAGTTACTGTTCTTTTTTTGAGATATAAAAACAATTTATTATCACCACAATGAATTTTACATTTAAGTATCAGAACCAAGGCCATTTATAGAAATATTAGGAATATTATAAAATACTTAAATCTATAAAAAGTTGTCTCAATCATAACATAGGAATTTTTAGTAGTAATTCATTCTACAGTAAACATTATAAATATAATAGTCTATTGGTAATGGAATGTTACCAAGTAGACACATGAGAAGTAACATAAACTTTTGATTCTTAGGGCATCAGGTAAAAACAGAAATGCTCAGAAAAAAACACATATGCAATGGACCAACTTCTTCTTTTTTGTTAATCCTCACCTGAGAATATTTTCTCCATTGAGTTTTATAAAATTATGTTGGTCTCAGGTTTGTGATGGTTTATGATTTTTTTCATAGTTTTTTTTTTCTTTGAACATTTATTTAAAAAGCTACTTTTATCAGTTAGCTACTGCAGTTAACAACCAGTACAAAACTTTAAAAAAGCTTCAAAGAACAATTATTATTTTTCATAATTCCATAGGTTGACTCTGTGGGCTTCTGGCCTGGGCTTGATTTATCTCTTAAGTCTGCTGATGACTCAGTTGTGGCCTCATTCACATATCTGGCAGTAGGCAGCCAGTTTGGTCTTAGGGTGGGGGCAGGGCTCAGCTGGAAATATTTGTCTCTGCTCCACGTAGTTTTTCATCCAATAGATTTGCCTCAAAATTCCAGAGCAGTAAGAGAGGGCAAGTCCCAATGCACAAGCAGGTTTTAATTCTCTGCTTTTGTCACATTTGCTATTGTATCATGGACCAAAACAATCACAGAGCCAAGCCAGATACAAGAGATAGAGATAGAGACTCCACCTCTTGACGGGAGAGTGGCATAGTCAAGATACAAATGGGTAAGTAAGTGCACAGGGATGGGGGAATTATGGTTATTTCCATAATCAATTTACCAAGCTGCTTTACCAAAAATCCTGCAATTAAGTCAAAAGAAAAGTAACAAACTTAGAAAAATATTTGTAAGTCAAATCACAAAAGATTAATTTAGTTATTATCTAAGGAGCTTCTGTAAATTAAGAAAAAGACCAAATCTCAATACCTAAATGGCTAAAGAACATGGAGTTTCAAAAAAGGAAATACAGTATAAAATTTTTTTGTATTTTGTGTTATATTTAGCCACATATTTGTGGAAAAGGAGAGGAAGGAAATTTTGAAGGTCATTTCGATAATTTTTTTAAAAACTAACTGTTTCCTAATCACATGGTATAAAATGTTTTAAAGTACAAAAAGATACACAGTGAAAAATATCCCTTCCTTCTTCCCTGCACATTTGTCACACCCATGAAAGATTCTGCCATGTAAGAATTTTAAATATTTCAAGTATTTCAATAATTTATGGTTCTTAGATTTTTGTCATGTTTCTGACTCTATGATTATTCAAAAATCAAAACATTAAAACTCCCCCATAATTTCTTATACTTTAAAAAAAATTTTTTAAATCTCTGATCCTTTGAAGCTATCCTGACATAAAGAGTGAATATGGATTTAGCACCATGTGTTGAATTATCCATCTCTCTACCACTGATTTTAAAGGCCACCTTTTTCATAAACTGAATTCCTGCATATATGAACATTTGGAAGTAGGCAGGTGAGCTGATGGGAAAGCAAGCCCCTGGAGAGGGAAGAGTAGAAGAAACATAACTGGAGTTACAGAACCTTTCCTTCTCACTTCACTGATCTAATGGTTGACTATATGACAACTGCCACAATGTTCACCTAATAGAACTACTGAAGGACACTGAACCACCAACAATATAGAAAACCAACATTTAAGAAAATGTTTTCATTGATTTTTAGAGCAAGACAACAGGATAGGAATAGAGAGAGAGAAACATCGATCGGCTGCCTCCTGCATGCCCCCTACCGGGGATCAAGCCTGCAACCCAGGCATGTGCCCTGACCAGGAAATGAACCAGTAACCTCTTGGTTCATGGATCGATGTTCAATCACTGAGCCACACCAGCTAGTTGAAAACCAACATTTTTAATATGAAAACTATGTATTTGGGCACAAAAATGCAGTACACAGCAGAAATCACTATCCTATCAACAGTGACATTATCTCATCTGAGAACACAGAAATTAAGTTATTAAGGAATGCCAAGAGGAAACAATTCTTTAAAGTTCTATTTGATTTACTTTGTTCAGGAAGACAAAGTTTATTTGGCTCTGGTCACAGTTCCATCATGTCTAATTTCTTGGAGAGTTCAGCTTCAATAGTATCCTAAGGGAAGAAAGAAACACATGAAATACTATAAAGAAGGACATAAAACAGGTGCTCTAACTTCTGTTATTTAAAATTAGGAAAACAAAAAGGAAAAACATTAAAACAAAATTTTTAAAAATCATTATAAATATTAAATATGCTTTTAGACATTCCCTTGCTTTTACATCTCTCCCCTTATCCAACCCCAAATGTTTTCAGACTCTTGATTCTAATAAACATCTAAAGGGGGGAAAACCCTTTAGAGAGATGAATTAGTATAATGATACATAAGTAGATTTTCCTGTCCTTTACCCCTTAAACAGTGTACTTTCATAATGTCTCTCACATCACCTCTTTTCCATTCTCATTGCCACTGTTCTCATTACTTCTCATATGGCCTAACTAGGCCAAATGGTTCCTATAATTTTCTTTCTCCCTCCTCCAATCCACTATATACACTGATTCCAGAATAATCTTCCTAAATAACTGGCCTGATAAAAAAGCATAGCTTGGATCACATTTCTCTTTGGCTCAAAGAACAAAGAAACACACAGCAACTTTCAGTGGTCCCCTTACAGACTCTACCCTCTTTATTTTAAAGACCCTTTATACCATAAACCAATTGACCTTCTTCAGTCCTATCTTCTGTTGAATACTCCTAGGCAGCTGGACCTCATCACTTACCAAAGCTTGAAAAAGTCCTCTTTTTTAAGCTCTTGTGCACTGGCCAATTCCTATTGCCTAGAATATTCTATGTCTCACACTCCCATCCCTTCTACTCAAGAAAATCTAAGCAAAAATCGAAAAGACATAAAAGACCACTATGTATTTTTTTATGGAAATATATATATATACACACATATGCCAAAAAGTGTTTAAAGATGCATGAGAATAATACACAGTGACTTTAGGACTATGGCTTAGCTCTGGGGAGGAAGGGGGAAGGCTAAAGGGAGTGTTAGCTAGATCAGCATTTATTTTATTTCTTTTTTAAAACCTAAAGAAAACAATGGAACTTACTAATTCTCGCTTTGCTTCTTCAATTTTCACCTGAGCAAGAGATGGATTCTTTTAAAGAAAAATAAAACAAGGAAAGGTTATATTACCTCAATTAGGGCTCAAGGGGGAAAAGATGCAATAATCCTTTTCAAAAGTCAAAAACCTTACAGAGTATACCCATTGAAACTCAGCCTGAACGTTAAATCCTTAATCATGGAAGCACTATTTTCATAATCATTTAGTGACTTTGGGGAAAGCACTAAAAGAGATACTCTCTTTTTTTAATTCATAAAAATAATTACCGGCATTAAATCTAAATAGGACTCCAATTTTTTCTTCAAAGGTATAGTCTGTCGTTTTAGTTCTGCCAGTTTCTGGGGATGAAAAAAACATGGAATCACAGAATAATAGAGATATTCACAATGCAGCTAAATACTGCTCATTTCTGACATAAAACACAGTAAAGCATTAACATTAGGATATTTTAAATAGTGGAGCAAATAAAGAGCTTCAAAGATAAACACACAAACTCACTTCCAACTGAAACAGTCCTTATAAGATGCTTAAAATAGCCTTAGCTGGTTTTGCTCAGTGGGTAGAGCATCAGACCATGGACTGAAGGGTCCCGGGGTTTGAATCTGGCCAAGGGCACTACCTAGGTTGCAGCTCCATCCCCAGCCCCAGTCAGGGCGAGTGCAGGAAGCAACCAATCGATGTGTCTCTCTCATATCGATGTTTCTCTCTCTCTCCCTCTCTTCCCCTCCCCCTGCCTTCCACTCTCTCTGAAAAACAATGGAAAAAATATCCTCAGGTGAGGATAAAAAACACACAAAAACAACCACACAAGTGGAGAAGCAATTGTGAACTGAGATTTTAAAGAAAGTTTGCCTTGGCCCGTATGGCTCAATGGGTTGAGTGTCACCCCATGCACCAAGAGGTCGCAGGTTTGATTGCTGGTCAGGGAACATGCCCTGATTTTGGGATCGATCCCCAGTAGGGGCTGTGCAGATGCTTCTCTCTCTTTGTCTTTCTCCTTCTCCCTTCCTCTCTCTCTAAAAAAAAGTCAATAAAAACATAAAAGAAAGTTAAACTGAATTAAAATAAGCTTACCTCTGAAAGTGCTACTAGTGATTGATGAGACAGAGAAGCATCCATGCCTCTGGCTGAAAGTTTCTCCTACAATGACCAAAAAAAGAGGGTTCAGTTAAGAAAACTATTTTCAATTATCATTAAATATTTTCAACATATAACCCAGCAAAGAGAAGCTACGAATCACAGATGAAAAACTATACATGCATCTAAACACTTTTATGCTGCATGTCAATCATTTCCACAGCCACAGATCTGTGATAAGATGGGTGCAGTGCTTCTTAAGATCCTGAGCTTCGGGGCCTGGTTGCCTGCATCCGAATCTAGATCCACTGCTAAGTAGTTATGTAACCCTGGGCAGTTAACCTATCTTCTCTGTAGTTCCCTTGTCTGTAAAAAAGTATTAGTAATACTGCCTACTTGTGAAGATGAAGGTCAGAAAGAAGTATGAAGAGATCTAACATTATCCAGTCCTTCATACATACCTCTGCAGCTCTGATTCCAAACCTAAACTCCTCTGACTTTGCTTTTAGGAAGTCCATGTTCTGAATACGATTGTCAACTTTGGCCCTTTCCATAGACAGATGCAACTCTGCCTTCTTGAGATCCCTTTAAATGTAAAATTGAAAACATTTTCTTCTCCTCAGTGAAATTATTATTAAAAAACAAAACTCTATTACTTTTTGGATTAAACTCTGGATTAGACAAGAATAAATAACATACTTGCTGGATTTTCTATCATAAAATTTATATCTCAGACTAGTTAACAGGCATTCTTCCAGGTGATCCTCCCCTCCATGTTGCCATCTGGGATTATTCTCAAGAAATATGAAATAATTTTAAGATTAATTTATGCCAATTATTCTTGGAGAAAGTAAATCTGCTAATCAGAAAAGTGACTTAATATACCCTAAAGCCAACAGGAACTATGGAGGTCCCAAAAGGCCTCCCTCCTAAATGTGACATGACACAGTGCCTTGTATATACACAGTCAACATTTATTGAATAAATTTGCACACTGCCAAACTACTTGTGCATATACATACTCCTGATCCACAGCATCTAATGTCTGGGGTAACAGGGACCTAACAAAGGTCCAGAGCATCAAGACAAATAGAGCACTAGTAAAAAAAAAAA